AGGTCAGTTTGAAAAATTTCTACATATTGCCTGTTTATTTATTATATTTGCAAATTATTTTCAGTATGTTTTAAGTCCATAACTGTACAAACTATAACATGGCATTTCACCTTTGTAGGGGTTGAATTTACAAATATCTTTTAGTGGACTGTCATAAAGGGTAGCATTTTTTCAGTGCTTTGAGCTGTGCATTGTTAGATGAGTCACGTTACTCAGGACAACCCCTTTTATACAGCGTTATTTTGCAAAGTGTCCAAATTTCATCTTTAAGTTGAAATATAGTATATATAAATAAATAATGATATACCGTCATTACACTTTTTGAAAATATGAGTAAATAAGACTTCTACTTTTATTCGAAATTATTCTAGATTTAATGTGAATTACGGATAACAACTACACGTAGGCACACTCCCCTGTGTGCAATTCAATTCACAATGTTTTTGTTAACTGAGTGATCCCTACTAATGTGTGCTTGTGTTGTAAAATAGTAGGTGTTGGATATTTATGCATGAATATCAGTTAAAATAATACATTACCATGAATTCTTAACTAAAATGTAAAAAGTAAAGAATGTTTGAGATTATTTTAATTATCTTCACACACACAAATTGAGTATAAATCAGGACTATCAAGTATTATTTATTGAATAAAATCCTCAAATTTAAGAAATCATTAAATATTATTTAGTACACCACTTACTTGAATCACTGCAGCTAGAATAACTTTGGTCACTTTCACTAAACATAGAAGCACAAATATGCTTTACACCCATCATCCTACTTCTGCAGTGACTGACTGATAGCAATATAGTGCAATCTGATATTATCTTGTCATTTTGTAAGGGTAATAATTACTCAGGTAACTAATCAATTTTATATTTCAGTTTAGTTTAAAATTTTCCATTAATAATTTTTTTATTTATTGTTTGCTAATTTTACTTATTTTACAATTTCGAAGAATATAGTTGTTAATTCGGGATAAATTACAAAGAAAATATGTCATAATAAATCGGCGTATCCCTCCCTTACCCATGCAACATGCGCGTTTCCATCCTTGCTGTAAATGTATATATATAACTATAACGACAGTTTCCAGTAAATAAAAATGGCTACCACTCTTCATATGTTTTATATAACAAAGCAAGTAAAACATAGGAAGTACTTACATTATAACAATATCTCTGAGATGATTATAAAGCAACTAAGCACGTATGTATCACATGACAGTTCTCACAAAAATTTAAACACATCGTCTTTTACACCACTATCTTTTATATCTGTGATGATATTTCATTGTCACTTTTTAATAAACAGCTGAATTATGATCTTACCACGTATCTTTCAACAAAATTAGCACACATTTTATTTCGTCAACAAAAGGGATTACTCGATTGTGACTTCACTTACACCATCACAAAAATCAACAACCCATCACACCACACACATCAACACCACACTCATATTATGCTGTTACTTTATTGTATAAGTTTTAATATTCTAAACATAAAAAAAATACTTGTTAACATTAAATTAGAACCACATGCTTCCAAACAGACTTAAGTATCACAAGATCGAGTTTCAAAAGAAAAGATTGATTTTGATTCTAAAATTGTTGACTTCACTTTTGTGGCCACAGATAAACTAACTAACCAGTGGATTAGATTACATAGACTACGCTGGCACTTTTTATTAATTTGCGAGACTTAACATTGTAATACATGACCATAGTGTGCAAGGGAGAAGAAAATGCCTTATCGTAGACAGAGAAACTTATAGATTAATGATTAGCGTGGCCTCGAGTGAGAAAGGACGATAACGTAGTTTTAGGTTATACAATAATCTTTATGACTTTTAAACATATTTACATAAAAATTTTAATTGTTCTAAGAACTGAACTGAACAAGATTCACCAATCTTAAGCTCACAAAACACTCTTCTTCTCACTTAAACCAACTTGTAAACTCCTTAGATTGCTACGAACTGTGAAAGTTGTTTAGCAAAGTGTAATTTGCTAAACAAGAAACTGGCACGGAGAAAGGGACAAGCAATCATACCGCTCTGTCTCTTTTCTATGCAAGACGTATGCATAAATCTATCTATTTCGTGTTCGAATGCGAAACAAGGCATCAATTTGTCTATAGGGTTCTCTGTCTACGTGCCTTATGTTAGTATAGGAAGATAGAAAAGGAAAGCAAATCTCATAACTCGTAACTGATTTTGAATGACAGGTCGATTTTGTTCAAAATTTAATGTTATGTACTGTTTAAAAATATAGAATATTTTCAATTATATTATTAATATTGATGTTTTGCAAAGAAAAAAGTAACGTTGTTGATTATTTGCATGATTTTGGTGAATATATTTTTAACAATACATTTTACACGTAGCGTAAATTGTGATTGACTCAAGTATATTAAAATTAATGTCGACATTTGTCGTGAATATTTTTAATGAATCGATAAACTTGACCACACAATAATAAACCGCGACTAGTTTTGTATTCTGGCCGCCTAATAGCAGGTGGTTATAAGCTAAAGAAATACATTTCTCGAACGTACATAATACTAGAACCATAGAATACTATAATACACAATAGAATGGTTTTCAACTTTATTTTGTAGGAGGATTCGCGTCACCGGGAGCACACACACAAGCAATCACGTCGTATTATCAGTTATAACTACTATCAAAACATTTTGTACTTTTGATAAATTTTTTGACACATAAATATCTCTTTATTTTTGTTTTTGATAATCACAGAATATAAATAGTTTCGACTTACTGGTTGTAGAATATGTCTCCTTTATTTAAATTCCATTTCCCGCTGTTATTTCGACACGTAATTATATCAGAATTTGCCATTTTTTAAATAATTTGCATGCAGCGACGCTTGAAATGAAAATTGGAAACGATTGTTTGTGTTGACATTTATACGTGTGAATTGACATGTAATGGCTACACGGGCTCCGCCCACTCCCCCGTTCTATTATGTATGAATTATAGTATTCTATGATTAGAACAAAACTGATGGGTGACAAAAATTTTCCAGCAAACGTAGTTCTTTCTATAGTCATTAGATAAGTTTAAACCTAGAAGATAAAAATCAATACTGATAACGTTATTTTTTGTAGTAAATGCACGAAACACGAATAGACAAAAAAACTTTTTCGTCATTAGAATCCATTATGGTTAAAAAGTTGAAGTGCCTACAAATATAAAATTAACGGTAAACTTATCTTTCAACATGACAATATTTCTACGAATTTGTTTTCAAACATTTTGTTTCGTTAGTTATATGGATATAATATGGTAAAAATATGTATTGTACAATAAACTATCAAACATATTTCACTACAACATGTTCTTTGACTATGCAAACGCGATTCGATACATTGTCAGAAAACAGTATTCTAAACATGCTTTCTTGTTAAAATCTCGTCAGTGCAAACTCACAGTTAGGGGTCTACTTAATTACTCAAGTAATTACCATTTTGTCAAATAACTGTTTTCTATAGTGATGTAGCTAAACGATATAGGAAACATATGGACCAACATATTTTATTCATATAAGATATTATATCTTAATGTTTGTTACAAATTGTTGTATACCAACAGTGACCGTACGACATTATTGCAAATTAAAATGACTGGTTATGTGTGGTTACATTATATAATTTATAAAGTTACCTTTCTGCCTTTTTGTGCAGCAAATTCCTTTATTTGCTCATTACACTAAGTCCTTTGTTAACTGGACTAAAAGGACTGCTAAATAATTTAGTCGATAGTTTGACATCACTGTCTCATATTTGTTATCTATGTACAACATCCTGGAGAAAGAGTGCTTCGCTTCACAGCTAATAGTCCAGACGTAGTCCGAGTCCTGTCCGAGTCCTGAGTCCGATCAGGTACCTCGCCACTTACGGTCGCCTGCGACCTAACCGTGAAGTGCTAATAATCGGTTGAGCCCATGCGCTCTCAGTGCGTTTACTCAAGAGAGAAGAAAGAAGACAAAGACATTTTACCTGTTCGCGGATGTGCTTTGTGTCGTTGTGCGCCTTTACGGCCGCCAGGTGCATCGGGCCGCCGGCCCATTGTTCTATTGTGTGGTGCTAGTTAGTACCCCACGTTCTGCCAATTTCCAGTAAAAACTATAAGTAGTTTATTGCACACCCGCTGCCTCAGAGGCAGCAATTCTATTGGTTTAATTTCTGTGTTGCTTGTCGCATTAGGCGACAGCTAGGTACACACCCTAGCGTACCAACGCGCTTGTTGTATAAGTGTTCGTTTGGGCACACACCTCCCCCGCCGAAAGGTGGAGGGGCTTGATACACAAGTGTTTTTCAACCACTGACAAGATGGCGACTATCACTATAGCCGAACTCGCCGACTTCTTCGGTCAAGTGTACCCGACGCTTGGGCGGCTTTCCTAGCCCAGCACAACAAGCCCACTGCTGAACGTTCCGTAGTACGTAAATGCCTACGGAATAAAGTAAATTAAGTAACAGATCCAATTATATAAAATGAGAAAAAAAATCATATTAGTTAAAATAGCGATATCAGCTGCGCATATTGCAGAGTTACAACCATATAAAAAGCGGCCATTTTATGCGCCTAATTTTTGTAGGTAGTCACGCTAATTTTGTAGGTATGCCCAGTCCGTATACTTCTAAGTCAGTGTAATTATGTATTATTCTATGGACAGTATATTCTAAGTCTATGGTAAATATAATAATCTATGGCTTATCCATCCTTTGTCTATGCCATAGTTAAACCATAAATATGTCACATAAATCCATAGATTATCTAAACTAAATAAAAACGTTGTTTTGGGTAGGTATATCACCACAGACCAGAGTACTTTTTATAAACTGGTTTATCACAAAATGTAAATTTAATGTATCATTTTCCGAAAAATGTCGTTGTTTTGAAGGAAACAATTTTACGTTAAATTTGTATAATGGTGTCATTAGCATATAGTAGTTTTTTAGTTTTAAGATAATGGATGAATCATCTTCCTTAGGAACTGGTCATAAAGAATTAAATGCAGTGTTTGATTTCATTCATGAGTTGAAAAAATCTACATTTCCCACCCATTTAAAACATAAAAATACTGTAATTAAATACACAAAGATACCCGAATTTGACTTTGATTCAAAAGGTATGAGTATGTGGCATTTTTAAAGTATAACTATTTTTAAACTATATAGTTTAGGTTTGCTCAGACGGAATAATAAATTCTTCTGTTTTGGAAATTATTAAGACCAAAGACACATATTAAAAGAAATTGCTTTATATTTTTCAGCAACATGGTCTCATTACAGTTATTCCTCAACTCCTCGATTGCGTCGCATTATTACACTTGATGATAGGCCATTTGAAACAACTAGGTCTCTGAAGCAGGACCTAAAAGTTCTACCTAAGATGTCTAATATTTATCCTAAAAGGAAGATTATAACTATCGAAGATGAAGATGATGTCAATAATGTCCTCAAAGTCTGTTAGTATTTATAATGATAATTCAATAATGTATTCCTATTAATATATTTTTTATAGTACTCTCAGATGAGAATACACAGAATAGAACAGATGTTCTAATTGGAATTCAAATATATCTATAAAAAATTTCAAAACCCCACCCAGCTGGAAGGGGTTTTAGAGATTGTCATCCCATACCTGTGAGTGTGATAAATGACAGCTATAAAAACTGCCAAATAAAACTTAATTAACCTGATGAATATTGGTGTAACCATCTTTACGCCAGAAGTAACATATCCAGACTGGCAATAAAGATCTGTATCCAAAAAGTGAAATGTCTGATATTGCCATCGCCAATCTGCCAGCGAAGCGTGACAAATAAAACAAGTTTTCCCTACAACAGGATAGGTCCAAGCCTGGCAAAGGACTTATGGATTGATAAAGAAGAAAGAAAGATAAATATATATGAATACATTGTATTCATATGAATACTGAATATTTATTATTTTTTCATTGTGTTTATTTACAGCTAAAGATATAAAAAAATATGCCACCACAAGAAATTCAAGCAAAGTGATTGGAACACATAACAAAGATTGTTCTCAAAGAACAACATCAAGAATTACTAGAGCTTCAAAAAGTATGTTTATATATTTACTTTGCAGTTTTTGAACCAAATATCCTTGACCTCATCATGCTTATGCTTGGAGTATACAAAATACTCTAAAATACTCCAAGCATATGCAATATACAAAGTAATATTAAAAACATATTATGATATGTTTTTAATATTAATTTATTAATTGTAAATCATAAATTATGAATATGAAGTGAAGGTATAGATACAAGCCAGATACATAATATCTTAGATTTAAATTGTATTTTATTGATTCAATTAAATTTCATGTGATCCTTCTGATGTTTACTTTGATTATAAATTATTTTGTTAAGTAAACATGTAGTGTGTCCATTTCCAGTTAAGGACTTTTTGGCTTATTATATAATCAATTTATCTTTATATACCATATTATAAAATTTTTTTCTTATGCCGATCTGCAATCAGTTGAGTCGGTATTCATCAGATGTTGTTATATTGTGTTTGTCGTATCTAGATTTTGAACATCATAGTGTTTCAGTTGTTTGCAATAGCCGATTTATGCCAGGTGATCCCTCAGGTCGTTGGCGTGTTTTTGGAGGCGATTTTTGTATTTCCTTGCGTACAGAGCAACTTCCTGCTTCGCCGCTGTCATGTTGAGAGCCTTGTGAATTTCACTGTTTGTCACAAAACATGGTACATTGGCTGTCTGTCACAGTGTACCATTTTGCACTTGTTGTTTGATTGTAATACTGGTGTTACAAACGCTCCCTCAGAGTTAGATGTCATAAGTCCATACTAGCTTCAGGGTGGTCTTATATATGAGTAGCTTATTATCCAAGCCAAGTTGCTAGCCATTAGCCAATACATGTTTTTGTACTGCATGTTAAGTTCATGTTACATTACCCTCCTTATTATTGAGTACCCTCTTGGGTTTTATGTGCTTCTTGCAGGTAAATCTCCTGTCAAGATCCTGAATGAAGATGCATACTGAGATATTGTATTTTATGTATAATAAAAATATAATATAGTACTTTGTGGAAACACACTGTTTCCTAGCATCACTGCAGGGCAGTTCCCTTTTCTTCAAGGTGAAGGTTATGTGTACAGATATGGACATTCTGGCTTTGATGGCAATAAAAAAGATAAATAATTTCTACATATCTTCTGAAGTTGGAGTTACGACATTTTAAAACTTCCTTGCATATTTTTCTACGGCTACGAGTAAAATTTTAATTCTTAAAATTTATATGAAACCTACCCTCAAGTATAACATATCGGCTCAGCCGTTTCTGTGAAATCGGTAAACATAGTACAGAAAAACATTGTATAATATAACTTCCCGTTTTTAGAACTTGGTTAATAATATCGGCAACAAAAAACGCAAAATATAATATACCATATTCATATTGCTTTCAATAACGTAAGATTTTTTGTGTGTATAATGCCCAAATGCTCAATCAATACTCCACTTTAAGATGTCGTTAATACTCGTGCTGTCTCGTATAACTTTAAGTCAAAGTTACTATAACACCACAATACTTTAGGGCCTATAATACCTCAAGTTTTTCGCCAAGGCTGTCCAAGGCAACTTCTGCCAGCCATCAGTTCCATCTTTGCACACAGAGAATGACTCACTGGCTCATGCTGTAAAGGAGAAAGTCAATCTTTTAGGTTCTCTTTTTAAGTTCGACTCTAATCTTGATGAAGTGAGATGCACAACACCAACCATACTGTGGTGTGATTGTTCCCTGTTGGATGTGCGGCTTACACAGTGCTAAGTGTGCTAAGCGCTCCTCTCACTGGACTTCAACAAGTAAAGTGGGCCTGATGGTATCCCTCCTATTGCGCTGAAAATAGGTGCTCTGGAGTTAGAACCGGTAGTACTTCTACTCCCTTGACTTAATCCTGAATTTATGGAAAATAGCTTTAGTGAACCCGATGCCTAAAAAAGTGAGCGCACAGACCCATTCAACTTCAGGGTTATCACTATCGCCTACTTGTTCTCCAAAATAATTGAATCCATTTTAAAATACTAGCTTATAAGGTAGTTCTAGTTCTAATTAACCCGATTCATAGATGGGCAGAAGCATTAGAGTCTAAGAGGGATGCCATGGTCATTACTTTGGACATAGCAAAGGCCTTTGAAGGGCTTTGTTGCAAAGCACTTCTTTAAAAGCTTCTTTTTTATGGGTTTCCCGAAATATTGTGCCATCGGATCATCAGTTTTCTTGCTCATCAGAGAATCATGGTCGTAGTAGATAGTGCATACTCTGACCAAGGCACCCCAGTGCCAGCTGTTTGCACTTGACCGCATCCAGGGAAGAGTGGCTCGAATCGGTTAGCTCTTCGACCGAGTTCTTTTTTCTCGATTCACTGGCGCTACGAAGAGATTTTGCATTTTCTATCCCATTATCCACGGGGAATAGCTGTCAAATTCTACCAACGCACATCGGTACAAAACTTACGGCACCATCCTCACCTGATGGATGTTTGCTGTACACCATGTTTTCACCATGAGATTTACGAGTGATACGACTTAGAGGCCTACAAGAAACAAAGTTACTCCTTTTAAAAAGGCCGATAATGCACCTGCAATTTTCCTGGTGTTGCAGTTGTTCATGGCAATGGTCGACAGACACTTACTATCAGAAAAATTTGATTTAATGTGGGCGAAACCGCGGGGTGGAAATATAAAATCTAGTAAATATATTCATGGGCTGAACAGGCATAGACAGAACAGGTCAGTGGGAGGCGCATATTCATAGTTAGCCTACGGCTGTCGTAACTAGATCAGGCCCTGAATATATCACACAACAATTATTAAACACAATTATTAAAATGAAGATGCTGGCGATAAGAGAGCTGGTTCTTGAATAAAACTATTATTTATATAATCCGTAAATAATAGTTTTATTCAATGTGTAGTGTTTGCGTAAATTTAAGAAATCATTAGAGCTGGTTCTTTTCTTGCTAAAGGCCATTCAGTGAGAAAACATAGCTAGCATTCTTGGCACGATACCACGGCCAGTTTTATATATGTATTATATTATATTTTTTTAATATTGTATATATTTCAATGGTATGTAAATAAATGATATTTAAGTAAAGATAAAAATTTAATTGAAATAAATTAATATGACTTTATTTTTTTTTAGATGCCAAGGAATCAATTCAAATGCAAAACATACCTAAAACTCAAAATATAAATAGATTAAATGAAATTAATAAACAAAATAGTAAGCAGTTAAATAATAATCTGATGTCTGGAAGTAATAAAAACAAAACATTTAAAGGTATGAATATAGTTAATAAAGTAAAGTCAGTTTATCCTATTTATTGAAGTAAAACTTCTTTAGGTGCAATTTAAGCGTAACTCAGATCTTTTTAGCACAGAAGTAGCTTTCAGTAAATTCTATAGTCCAATTAATTATATAGTCGTTCATAAAAGGAAGTAATGTCAAACTCGTTGCAGAAGATAAGTACTTGAGAAGCAGGGTAGTAGAGTGACGGCCTGGTAAGAGTTGCAGGAACTTAATGGATGCATGTGGTTCATGACAGTGCTGTGTATCTTGAGCGAGGCCTATGTTCAGCAGTGCACTTGTGCTGGGATGTGATTGTGATGATGCCTGACTTGGTAGGTCTGGTCGGTGTCTTGTTAATTGGTTGATTTCTGTATTTTCTTTATTTTATAAATCCATTCATACAACTATGGATTATTGAATGTTGTACACTTCTTTGAGTATTAAACCAAAGGAGATGGCATCGCAAGGTATACCCCTCTGTAAAAGGTACTAGACTCCGACTCATACCCATTATATAAAACAATTTGCTCCGCGTATGCGCCATTACGTAAGTGATCGTGCCAGTTAATTGAGCTCCGACAAAATGCCGAACTGCGGTGTATTTTCATGTAAAAAAACAATCGAAACTAGCTACTACTAACTACTACAAAAGGAAAGCGTGACTTTTCATCTGTGAATACTTTTAACATATTATTATCGTTAAAACTCTTATTTTCTGAATATTTTCGTAAAATACCAAGTGTTGCCAGCTAAGTTCATGAAGTGAAAAATAAGCGAATTTAAAATAAATATAATTTACTACACAAAATAAATATATTAACGAAAATTCATTTCATATCAACTAAATCACTTTGTGATGAATAATAGTCATTACATTAAGATGTGTAGTGGATTTTGTCCATTGATTTAAATATTCAGATCAATTCCAACATGATTCTGAATATATTATAATTTAATACAATTGATAACTAGTCTTTATCAAAATAAAGGCCAAATAAGTCGAATCGAAACTTGCTATTTCATAGCAATTATATGCAATTTTTAAAATTAACTGGTATCACTGCAACCGAAAGTACTGCAATGTACGCCACAACTTAGCTATCGATAAGTTAATTAACCCATTTTGGTTTGTCTGCCGAACAGATATTATAAAAAGTAGTAAATTTTTCTATTTTTGGTCTCCTTTTAAGTATAAAGACTTGTGTTAGGATACTCTACACCTCCATAGCACTAACATTACTATTTGTATGTTTTTTACATAATAAGTAAAATAAAAGACTAATAATATTCACGCCAAAGGTAACGCGCGCGTGTACGTAAATATTTATTGATTGTTAAAACTACACAAATTTTTAGTAAATTTCTCTGTGCCCTTTCAACTTCTAGAAATTTGGTTTTTGTAGCTCCACCACATACAGGAATACAATATAGTACTAAGATAGATTGAGCCAAAGCTATATATACTTAAGTCATAAGTTCTGTCAAAAACTTTTTATAAAATTAATGATACACTTTTCGATAATTATATAGAATTTATGTATATAAAATTGAAAGGTAATTTAATTTAGAATACAATTTTATTTACATTATTCAAAATCCCCTCCCCTATTTTGAATACATGCCCTTAATCGACGCGGCCAATCATAAATCGCAGCACGCACCACACTCATATCTATTTCATCATATCATCATCAATGATGCTCGGAGAGATTACAAATTCTGATGAGGATTAGCGCAGACTTTCTCCTCCAAATGTTGCCATATCTTATAATTCAGTAGGCTCAAATATGGACTAGAAGAGGGCCAGTCTTCATGTCTGATAAAGTCAAACATGGGCGGTCAACCAGTTTTGCGTGTTTCGTGACCTGTAAGCTGGTGCAGAGTCGTGTTGGGATATCCAATGTCTGTTTTTGAACATTGTTTGAGAAAGAGGTTTCACTATGTTTGTTGGGACGGTATTTTGGTACACCTCGGCACTGGTTTTTACACCTTATTTACAGAAAAACACCACAGTTAAGTCTGAATATGAGACTCCCAAGTCAAACCATGAGTGACGAAGAATAATGTGCTCGTTGAACCTTCGGAATACGCGTGCTGGCTTCTTCACTGCTGTGGGTAACTCAGATCATAACTTCGTGATGATATTCAATCAAACACTATTCATAACCTTATTATTTTGTTTATTATAACTTCCTTCGATGTAAAAAAATTTTTTTATCCGAAAACAAAATTTCGCGGTATTTTTTTCCCGCGTACCGCCGTAACAAAGCACGGGATCTATCCAGCCTAATTTTTTTCATACGCTCGTTCAAATAATGTCCGGTCTTACGATACGCTCGTAGTTCTAAGTCTTCACTGATCACTCTTTTGACCGTGGTTCTGCTTAGGCCCTTCTGAAGAGCTAAGATTTTTTGTTTACGAACAGGATTTCGTTAGATTCGCGCCTTCACCCACCGCGATCATCAAAGCAGTTGATCGCGGGTGTCCTAACTGTACGATGTCGGCCGGTCCTCTTAAGATCTTTGAAGCTTGAATATTCATTGAATCGTTTGATGGTGCGATAAATAAATCGTAGAGTTATTTTAAATTTTTGTAGAATATTGAAAATCTCTTTTGGTGTGTAACCACAGCGGTGCAAAGCGATAGCCGCTATTCTATCTTCTTTCTTCGACCACTCCACATTTGAAAATTAATGTCTTTTTTTATTTTCGGCAAGCGCAAATGTTATATTTCTAAAATGTGTGAAGTTAATCTAGCAAGTATTCAAAAATTCAAAATAATAAGGTTTTGACAGAACTTATGACGCGACTAAGTATATTTGGTAAAGTAACTTTTTCGTATTAGTATTTTAAATGTCCATGTAAGTTTCCTTAGTATATTCATGATTAATTCAATGTATCTATGTCATAACAAATGTTCGTCGACTATGACTCATAAATACTCGGTCTCAGAGACTTTTTATTTTATTTTATTTTAAAAACTTTATTGCGTCCCCTTAGAAGAAAAAGGATACAAATGGCTAATTAATGAACGGATGCAACTAGTTCTCAAGGGATCATAGCATGTGTGAAGTTTAATTTGGAAATTAATATTAGGCTGAATTCTAATATAATTTGTAAAACATATATAACTAGTTTTCAAAGTATTTAATGTAAGTAGGTTAGTGTTCAGCCACTGAGCGATCCTAGCAAGGCCTTCTTCAGCAGGTCTACGAACAGAATCACAGGAGTCACCAGTAAATATTACTGCAGTATCATCTGCATAGGAGATTATGTTGCCTTCGTTAATGTTGGTTAGATTATTTATGTAGATTAAACACAAAGTAGGACCCAGAACACTGCCCTGTGCAACTCCGAACGTTATATCTGATACATGGCCTAAGTATTCACTTTACTTTTTACTTTTTTTCTTTACTTTCTACTTGCGATCCTTAAGATAGTAAGTAGTAGTTAAATAAATCTAAGTGAGTACCCCTTATACCTTAAGCCTGTGCACAGGGACTGATTTTCCATATTTCCAAGAGATCCTCTTAAGCGGCAGACTTGTATTGCAGCTTGTCGACATCATGAATCTTGGATACCTAAACCGACTAGTACCATTTGCTCCAAACATTTTGATAAATCATATTTCTAGATGTAATTATCAATAGATTAAATAGTTTTATTATTAACCTTGACACCAATATTATTCTTGAAAATATTTTAGAATTTCGACTTCTTGTATTTACACGAACGTTACACATTAAATGAAACTAATTTTATCGCGTTAAATTTTGACTTTTGATTCCCGACGTTTCGGGTGCTTTACAGTACGGACTTTAATATCGCACCTTTGACAAAATGCGGCACATGTTAAGGCGGCGCGGCACAAAAATGACCGTATCTAAGCAAACAGACTGTACACCAAGGAAAATGAAACTAAAAAACGCCTCGAAATGAAAAGCAATAGCATAAAAATCTTCAATGGCAATGATAACCGATGGGGGGAAAGGTTCTTGAGTGGTAGCCTCGTACCGGTAGGTGAAGCGCGGGGCGACCCCCCCAATACGTGACGTGACGACCTGGTAAGACATGCAGGAAGTTGATGGATGCAGGTGGATCAGAACCGTGCTTTGTGGCACCCCTTACATATAAGGGACTGTAGGTAATTAATGAAATAATACTAAAAATCACTTTTACCAACGTTGAACTTATGCGGACTATGATGATTTGTTTATCGATAATAATATCGTCATAGTCCTCGCCTTACTTTGCTTGCGTATGTAGACGGCGGCACCAGTGTATTGACACGTGTATAATTTGATGGTATGCGTAAATGCAATGAAATATACAGTAGTGTGTTTTTCTTACACCCCCCTGATATTGACAGACTTTTTATTTAGGAATTAATATGCATGGCCTCTCCAGTTGGTTGAACACTCAAAGTGTACACTTTCTTTCACTAACTAGGGTTTGTTTCCACTTACTTTATATAGGTATTCGGCTATTCGGCTCTACTTAATCCAGAGTATTACATGGTAATTTTATTTGAAAATTAAAATTTCAGTTAGACATATTAATTGATATTGACACATCTTTAGTTAACTCTAACTCTAACCTAGAATTAAAAAGGGGATATTGCTGTCAGTGATTGGTAGTCACACATGTTTCAGCTAATTTATGTTGAGCTTTGTCAACAATTTTACTGTCTTCTGAGTGTAAATTTTGTGTATTGTCCTGTTACTGGATAATGATTATTAATAAATCTGAATGAAAATATTAACTCCTGGATTTGAGGTAATCGCTACGAAGCTATTTAAAATCATATTTATGCACCTAATTATACTTACTTTTTTCTTCGGTGCTTTGCTGGATAGATTATTTCAAACCAGTGGTATATTAAACTGTAAATGACATTTATTAAGAATTAAAAATATTCCATTCAAGAAAACTATTATGTATATGGAAAGTTAGCTAATTACTCTTACAACTATGACTTGAATTTTTTTAGTTATTAAGAAATAATAAAGAATTTTTTGTATGTTATTGAGATGTGATTGAAAATCAATTGCGTATTTATATTATATATCTATGAAGCGCCTTTTATGCTAATATTTGTGCAAATATTCAAATTGTAGTTTTGCTTTTGATTTTGTTGTGATTGTTTGTGCTAGATACTTATACAAATATTATCACGTGAGGTCTACATTGGATTTGAGAGGATTAAATAAAACGAGTGTTTCTGTATTCGCACATACACTTGTGGCACTATCTCCTGTAAAGTTGATACCTCCTGATGATCCAAATCCATAGCATAGTTAACAGACTAACTGTTGCTATGGTATTATAGTTCTTATATACAGTTACATCCCTCATACTTACAAACAAATGAACTTTTTTTTAAAGAATATTAACAGTGCTATAAACATTACTAATATTCCCCTTAACCACTCGTGGTAAGCTTAAATTGCTTGTGTTACGACTGGTTCACGCCAGTAATCGAATAGCGGATTCGAACCCACGACCTTTTTGAGTTCGCGGTCCGCGCCCTGCCATTAGGCTACTGTCGCTTCAACTCTCAATGAAATCACAACTAGATATGTCATAATTTTAGTTTTCTTACTGTGCACTCTTTAATATGTTTATTTTTTAATATTACAACGACCAGCGATTGCAAATAATATACTGGGACAATTATTTATAACAAACGCAAAAATTATTTATTTTATATAATAATTTTTATAAGTTATTTCCAGAATTAAACTTATGATTTTCTATCTATTTAATGTGTATTTAAGAATAGCTTTATTACCATATTACGAAAATTATATTCTTGTAATAGAGTTCGATTATATTTATTAAATTCGAGTATATTACCTATTTTATTTATCTTATTAATCTGTTTTACAGATATATCACAAAATACTAAGAAGAATATCGAAAACATTTCTAGAATAAGTTTAAGTAAAAATTTAATTGTCTCGGTAGAAAGTGGAAAAGATGCATCTGCAAACAGAAAAAAACAATCTAATGAATTTCGGAATAGTAATTCAATCAATAAGTCATCTGTGCAATTGCCGATAAAGAAATCTCAACATCCGCAAAGTAGATTAAAGTCGATAATTGATGGTACGCATAAAAATAAACCAGTTACAGTAATACATATACCTCAAGATGTCAAACACCAACACGCAGATATGACAGACAATAAGACAAATAATAAGATAGACACAGGCACAGCAGTTGACGCTATAATTTTTAAAGATACTTGTGTGGGGACTGACCCCTTGCCAAGAAAAATTGATCAAATTACTGAGATAGGTGCTGATATTGAAAATTTCTGTAAGACAGTAGATAACATATCACACACTCATTTTATTAAGGGGAAATTTGATAGCCTTGATATACCAAAAGTCAGATTGAAAAACGAAAGAAAAGGTCTCACGAAAAAGGAAATAGTAAATTTTTATAGTGCATCTTTACCGAATCTCGAAACTCCTATTATTGATATATTTCCTGTTAAAGATGATCAAAAAACATGTGAACGGCACTTCCATAAAAGTTCTTCCTACATCATTGGACGAGCAACTCTAACATATAGGACTGAGCGAAAAATTGATTTCCATGTTGTAGGCAAAAACGAAGAAATACACGGCAATTATTCTCCTAGTTCACTAAATTACCCTTTGAATGTAGTGTCCGTTTTTAAGAAAGAATTTCGAAACAGAAAATGTAGTGACAACTCTGTTTCTAATAATTCTGATGACAAAGATAAATCAGCCATTGATTCTCACCAATCAAATGATCTTAATAGGGTAAATTGCTCTTATGTCTCTTATAAAAATAAATTGGTGAAACCATCAGATATAATCAGTACAATTAGTGTTAACAACAACTTATTACAACAAAGCGACTTTATTTGCGAGCAGTTCCAGAGAGAACTCAATTTTATTGATTCATTTTTCGAGTCGTTGCAATATTTAGAAAGATTGTCAGAAAAGTGTTTTAGTGATGCAAACTTTAATACTTGGATTTACAACAAACAACTAGAAGTAAATGAGTCTGAATACATCTCGAACAAATCGCAGTTTGAAAACAGCACCAATGTTGATGATACTGAAACAATGGCTTCCAAGAGTCTTTGTCAGGTAAGTGCTATTCTTTTAAGCGTAAACATTATTAGATGTGACGACAGCTTGGCGACACAATACAATAAGGTGTGTCAGTAATTAGTATATTAATTAGTTCATTACAGTTAACAACATTACGAGTATTACTCAATAAGAGTTTGTTATTAAATTACCTATGTTTAATCATTTGTGAATGTTCATTTTGCTCTACTGCTTGTTATGAACTTAATAAGATTGAATAATTTTTTCAGCTCAATTTACTCATTCACAATGAGCAAAGGAGAGCAAGAGATTTCTTATTTGTATTGAAAATGCAGGAAGATGTCCTAAAAGATTATATTAAATCTCAAATGCTTTGGTTGGAAAAGAAAAAAAAGCAGGATAATATTGACATTTCGGCACTAAAGAAGAAGCAGCGCGGCGCATTGCTTAAATTACAGCACGAATGCGGCGAAATGCAAAGAATGCGTAAAGCATTACTTACATTATCTGAAAAACGAAAAGTTGCACTTATGAAGACAAAGAAAAATATTGAAATGAAATTAAAAAACAATGTAGATGTAGATCAAATTATATTTGGAAAAAAGAAGCTGAAACGCAATACAGCAGGTGATCGTTGTTTAGTACCGCTTAAATGCTTCGATCTTTCTAGCAGCGGGTGTGAAGAGAGCACCACATCGAGGAATAAATCGGAAAGTCCTTGTTTTAGTGCTCTCGCAGCTGACGACCAGTTGAATTCTGTTATAAAAAACGTAACAAGTGCTGAGAAGAGCATACAGACAGGCGATAGTATTTTAGCGACAGAATCTGATGGTCAGTCGACTAGCACAGCAGCTGAAAATTGTGTGGTTGTTGATGGTGGCTACCTTAATATATTGTTTCATAATTTATCTCTGCCGCAAATATTCAGCAGTGGTAAACAATACGAGGTAAATGAAGAAGCATTGAAAAACATTGTCAATTCATCTAATTCGCAAAACAGCATATCGAGTGATAGAGATGTAATTGAAAAGTTCATGGATCAAATTAAGAATCATGATACAGATGAATCATCAACGCCATCCACCGCTCATAGTCTAGTCGAAGAATTTGATCAGTATTACAAAAGTCTAGGTGAAGAGGACAAATTGCTAACAAACACACCTGAGTGTGAAAATGTTGATTGTGAGAAAAAAGACTGTGAAGTGCAATCAGAAGTGAACAATGACAGTTGTGAGCATAATAGTGTGTCAATGATATCAATGGATAGCGATGAAAGTATGTTGAAAAGATTAACTAATGTGTATGGAATCGACCGTTCGTGTGATTGTGAGCCTTCTGTGACTTCAGTTGAAATTCAGACTGTTGGCAAAGAGGCGTCGGGTGCTAGTGTGGCTGGTCCTCTTCCAGTACCCGCTGGTGCAGCTGCTCCAGTCGATACGCAGCCTCCAGATGTACATGTTTGGATCCCATCGCAGGCATCTAACGACAATCCAGGTAAAATAAATAAAAAAGTAAAATGTTTAAGTTTTTCAGACATACAGATTCCTAATAATGTTTTCCTGAACCTGACTGATATCAAACTTGTTTTTTCAAACGGGATTGACAAACTTCCAGTCCACATGATGGTAAGTGGCCTCTGCAGTCTAAGGACATCTGCAAGAAGTCTACATTTGTTTTGTCAACACTGGGGACTAAGATATAATTCCTTACAGTATGTAATTATTTTGGTACTCTATACCCTTCCGACCGAAGCACAGCAGTACAAGCTTAGCTATTTGCCAACAGAAATAGTTAGGAGTTTGGCACCTACCCAGATGGAACCCTAGGCAGAACACAACCTATTAAGAAGGCTTTCTCAAGCACTTTAAAATTGCAAAAAAATACCCAGTCCCTAAGCTTGCAAGTCTTTACTCATTTATCTAAATACAATGGTTATTTCCGAAATATATATATATATATATATATATATATATATATGTGTATATATATATGTATATATATATGTATATATATATATATATATATATATATATATATATAGATATATATATATATATATAAATTTCACAGTAGGTCTATGTATTTTTCATCTGGCCTAATTTACATCCATGGGATATTACGCCTCTTACGACACTCCTAAGACCAAAGAGGATGATGACTTACCTAAAGGCGAGTGAAGAGTTTAAACTGAAATAATTTTTGAAAGTCTTGTCCTTGTTTATACTGGTTACAATCTATCAAAAGTCCACTGAAGGTCTTACCCTAGATTGCCTCACAGGGGGGATATTTGCTATAAACGCCATGCTTAGTAGGCGTGTTGGCAACTGCATTTTTTATTATTTTAAGCTGATGTGTGTGCGTGTATCTCGTGTTTAAGTTTCCCTCTGTGTGTCTAATGACACTCATGGAAGGATATGGCGTATTGGTTATTTATACACTGTCACTATACAGTTCACTTGCTTATAAACTTAATTATACTGTTTGGATAATGATAATGAATTGGATATTTTTATTCACAGAAAATACTACAAGTGATCAAGTGTTTTCTTTAAACATAGCACCAATACCTTATGCATCACCGGTACACTACGAAGCAGAGGAGCTTCGACGTCAGCAGTTAGCAATTGAAAGAGAGGTTAGTATCCTTGTTAAGTATTTTTGAACTCAAGGAAATTGTAATATGACATTTCTACCATCCCACTTGATGATGGTGAGTGGTGATACAACTCAAGAGAGTAAAGCGCACTTACTTAGCTGTACAAAAGCCTATTTACTCTCCTGCCTTTAAAACGCCTACATTATAATGGGATGAAATTAAATTTATGGCAAATTATTCCACTACTTTGCTGTACGCATTACGTACGGCGAAAGAAACCAAAATTTTAAGTTTGTTTAACACATCGGCTAATTTCATTTAGTTTTTCTGAAAAGTTACGTACAGCTGAGCGATTTTGTATTTAATTATGCTATTTGAAAGTATATATTTAAACCCTTCTTGGAATGATTATCACCGCGTTCTCTGCCTACTACTTTCCTTTCTTTACCCACCTTAATTATAAATAATTTTTGTAATCAATTAAAGCATAGTTAAGGTTGGGGATCAGCAAACAGCATTTTAGTAAGTTAGGTATATTACGGTCATCATAACAATAACATTTACACCTGTCACCTACAGGGGTAGGCAGAGAGTAAGGGTACTTTCAGTGTTAAATAAGAAGTATTATGTTACATTAAATAATGGCCAATGGATGTGAATAATATTTCAAAAAAAAAAAAAAATATGTAAAAGATGTGTCCTACGGTACGCATGTTTTTATGCTGTTATTTAGAGCAAGTAATATTGACAGAATTTCCATATATTTTTTTATATTTTCTATACATTTATTTATTGCATGCCTTAACGTAAAGCGCGTAGAATGTTCTACTAGCTCCTAAAAATCAAGAATCCGACGTTTTGTTACATGAAATCATATCTAACAATTTTTATTTTTTTTTATAGAAGAGGAGGCAAACGAGCATGCGGCTCACCTGATGTTAAATGACTACCGCCGCCCATGATCAACCGCAACACCAGGGGAATTGTAGGTGTGTTGCCGGCCCTTTAGAAAGGAGTAAGCTCTTTTCTTCAAGGTCCCCAGGTCGTATCGGTCCGGAAAAATCGCCGGTGGTAAACTATTCCACAGAGAGGTTGTACGCGGAAGAAAACTCCTTGTGAAACGTATAGTGGTGGATCGCCAAGCATCCAGATGGTGTGGATGGTATCGGGACGTTTGACGCGTAGTGCGTTTACGAAATTTGGCGGTTGGGATTAATCCGGACAATTCCTCAGAGCACTCTCCATGGTATACGCGAAAGAAAATGCAAAGAGATGCAACATCTCTTCGCAGTGCCAGTGCATCGAGCCGATCGGAAAGCACTCGGTCATCGTCGATTCGAGCCGCTCTGCGCTGGATGCGGTCAAATGAAAGGAGCTGGTACTGGGGTGCCCCAGCCCAGAGGTGGGAACAGTATTCCATGTGCAGCCGAACCTGCGCTTTTTAAAGTTGCAGGCGGTATGCCGGCATGAAACACTGTCCCGCTCTGCTGAGCACGCCAAGCTTTTTAGAGGCCAATTTGGCCTTCTCTTCCAAGTGACCACGAAACTGCACGTCACTCGATATGTCGACGCCGAGGATTCCTATACTGGCTGAAACAACAAGGGGAGTGCCTTGAAACTGAGGAGATACGACAAAGGGGTTCTTTTTAGCGGTTAACGCGCAAACTTGTGTCTTCTGGGGGTGAAACTGGACTAGATTTAGTCGCCCCCAATCCGAGACTCTGTTCAGCAAAGACTCGACTTCAGACACAAGTTTGTCCCGGCATTCGGGGACGTTTTCCCGAGAAATATTGGCTCGACCGGTGTAAAGAGCATCACCAGTGCTGTCATCTGAATAGCAAGGAGTGTTACGTGTTTGCAACATATCATTGATAAGCAGAAGAAACAGCGTTGGCGATAGCACGCAGCCTTGTGAAATACCAGCATTAATAGGCTTGCAAGCGGAGCTTGCACCGTCTATAACGACCTTGATGCTCCGATCTGCAAGAAAGCTGGTGACCCAATCGCACAATTTCTCGGGAAGCCTATAGGAAGGGAGCTTCGAAAGAAGCGCTTTGTGCCAAACCCGATCGAAGGCCTTCGCAATGTCCAAACTAACGGCCAATGCCTTCCCCTTGGACTTTACTGCCTCCGCCCATCTGTGAGTTAGGTAGACCAAAAGATCACCAGCTGACCGACCACGGCGAAAACCGTATTGGCGGTCACTAATCAACTGGTGATCCTCAAGGTACCTCATGAGCTGGCAGTTTACAATGGACTCCATTGTTTTGGGGAACAAGGAGGTGATGGCGATAGGCCGGTGGTTGGACGGGTCTGAGCGGTCGCCTTATTTAGGGATCGGGTGGACGAAAGCCGTCTTCCATGATTTTGGGACTACGCCTAGGGAGTAGGAGTACTGGAAGACGCGTTAAAACCGGTGCCAACTCTGGAGCACACGTCCTCAGCACAATTGGGGGGATTCCGTCAGGCCCACTCGACTTGTGGATGTCCAGTGAGAGGAGTGCTTTGCGAACCGAGCGCTGTGTGAACTACACTTTCCCCGTCATCGGAGTCGAGTTGGACGCAAAGAAAAAGCCTAGAAGATCGGCTTTCTCGTTTGCGGTATGGGCCAGTGAGTCGTCCTCCCTCCCTGTGCAGAGATGGAAGATATGGCTGACAGAAATTCCCCCTGGACAGCCTTGGCGAGAGACCAGAATGCACGGGTTCCAGAAGGAAGGCGAACTAGTTTCTTGCCAATTCTGCCTATGTGCACTGACTTTGCCTTGGAAATGACTCTTTTGAAGGACCTAAAGGCGGAATTATACTTCTTTTTTAGAGCGCTGGTGTTTACTTCCCGGGACGCTGATGCGTCAGCCCAGGCTTGGTAGCATGATGCTATTTTACAGGAGCGACCAAACCGTGGCTGAGATTTGCTTACAATGGGCACCACAGAGGAAGGAATAAAAAGTTCCACACCCTGAAGTACCACATCAGCGACAGAATCCGCAACAACGTTGGGATCGTCCGGCGAGAAGCAACCCCGCCCCCAAGGGTAGGATGAATAGAAAGACCACATCCCATCCCAATCGGCTGACCTAACCAAACTGACTAGTGCCAAACACGGCGGCAGCCTGCAGAATGCAACTGCGATTTCAGCGTGAGTGGCACCACACTCCGGACAAGGCAATGGTGAAGAGTAAAGGGAGTGGGCTGATATCCGTCCGGGTGAGAGGTCAGCAGAAGGTCCAACAGGGAAGGTGCATGATCCTCCACATCTGGAATCCGCGTAGGCGAAGTAACCAGTTGTGTCAGACCATATGCCAAGGCAAAATCATGAACAGATCTCCCCGCATCAACACAATCACATGAAGTATAATATAAATGATATAAAAAGCACATTGTCAGAAAGATAAATGATTGTGGGACTCATTATTTATATTTTTTAATTGACCAATTGATATTTTGCATTAAAAAAGTGGTTTTGTAGTGGCTTATGGCGTAGATTTAACAAATCCGCATGGAGGTGTAAACACGATAACTTGAAAATATCAATTGTTCAACTCAATCTATTTTTTAATCTCTTCATCTATTATGTGGGAAGCCATGGAATATAAATGGTTGCTTAGTTATGTTTTGCTTAGTTATAATTAAAAATTTTCGGGAGAAATTCTCAAATTATCGGTGTTTCGAGCAGCCTCGTTATAATATATTTTATTAAATACATTTTGATTCATTCAGGTAGACATGTGTCAATAATTCATTTCTACCGACCGAATCATTCTAGTACATTTCGTCACGCGTACTGGTACATTCGGATCGATCATTTCAGGCGCCAGCACTCTGTGAGTCCGTGAGATCTATTGGGAACCGAAAATTTTCTATTTGAGATTTGTAATAGCGCCATCTGTTACATGCTATATATAGGTAATAAAGTCATTTTATCGAACTAAAACTTATTGACTTTCAAGTTGGTAAGTACAATCGACGCTAGATGGCATAAATACAAAAGCCTCAAGTTTCATATATTTAATAAATTTCTTTATCCTTAAATTTCATTCCTAACAATACACAATTCCATCTTACTTTACATGTCTAAAAATAGTGATTGTAACACTTATTTGTTACAAAATTAAACTTTTACCTATCTTATATAAGGTGGTTGAAAATTATAATATTAAATAAATCATTTATCATGAAATCTTTTGAAGTGTTATTTTTAGTAAACTCTACGAATTGATATTTTTAACTCATAGATGCAACAAATAAATATAATAAAATGTAAAATAATTTTTAATTTAGGGAACAACATTATAATAAAAAACCCTTAAATAATAAATAATCCTGATACTCTACAGTCTGCATTGTAAATTCGATTCGCCTGTTTGTTCAGATCATTCGGGATTCGGTCGGTTTGCGGCTCATTCACAATTCAAACAAATCGCGGGTTAAACGGGTACCGTCATTTGTTTGTGATTGGTTGTACTAGTACATTCAAACACAAATGAATGAAGCATATATACTTTTAAGTGTACCAGCTCAAACAAACGAATCATGCATGATTGACACATGTCTACATTCCGGACTCGGCCGTCGTCGTGAGTGGATTACTGTATCGTTTGTTTACAGCGGCTCGTGATGAAAAATATCTATCACTCTAGAAATACTAAATATACCAATCACCGAATTTGTTTCATACTTGACCAAGGTAAGATATTATTATTATTTTTATAATCACAGATTTTTATTACAATATATTGTTTCGCTGAAAGTACTTAGGATTTATGTATAAATATACTTATACGTCTTGGACTTTATGGAGTGACCTGAAGGTGTACTTCGCTATCTGCTACTGGAAATCCTCGATTTGTAGAACTAGGTGTGCCGATATTGTGCTCGTTATGTCAGTTATGATGAGATCTTACCCACGGACTTGACGTAAAAGGTGCGCGCGCGGAAGTTTTTGAACGAAAAGAAATCGAATCGAACTACGAAGATAAGGGTATTAATGAAAACTTATGTGTATTTAAAATTGACGTATATCATGAAAGCTTAAGGCACGCACATTTGTATTTACCAAAAGTTTATTCTTTAAGGGGCAATAGTGAAAAATTAAGGGCCTATACTACCTCAAATGGCTTAGCAAGATCTTTCGTTATGCCGAAAATATTGCAGCATTAATTTTGAAATAAATATATGTAAAGTTGAGAATTAATGTTAAGTACTATGTTAGACGAAAACACGATCCCGTAAAATTTTCTCGATAGGAAAAAAAATCTAAAGTTACCTCCAAACTGAACAATAAACCGCTGGTATTCATAAAATACTTTAAATTAGAACATGAAACCTTGCATGCAACTTAATAGTTAGTTCAGTTAGTATGTAGTTTCAAAAAATAAAAAACATAAGCCCTGCTATAAAGCAGGGCTTATGTTTTTTTTATTTGTATAGGACCTAAATTTATTACAGTTTATCAAAGGTTCACTGCTGATCATAGGATCTCAATTTTGCCACAGCTCCAACGCTGGACAGACAGCCACAGCCTTTTCGTTACTTTCAGTTGTCAGAAAGATGCCACTGCCCATTTCCTGTTACAGTCTCCTTTTGGCACCTCTTACGACACTTACAAGATAATGAGGGGTATGGTTGTAGATTTTTTTACGCCGTCACTACACGGCGAATTATCTTCAAAGCGATAAAAATATCGAATTTAATGAAAACAGGTTGCGTGAAATTGTCAAGTCGACAGTGGTGAGATTTTTAAAGCCCAATGTCTCGATTCGTGTTCGGGGTGTGCTAAAATATTACCATTTTCTCATAACAGATTTCCTTAATTATTAAGGGAATTTGATAAAATTGTAAAGGCTCGGTTTTATATTTTCAGATCAAAGCTTTAGAGCAGCAACAGTGTCAACTGCTCGTGGTGCGAGAAATTCCTGACAAACCACCGCCTCCTTACACACCCCCGTCTGAATCGCGAACGTCGAAACTTCCCCGTATGTTCCTAGCAGACAGCACAACGGAAGAAAAGATACAGAAGCATTTTATCGATTTAGCGAACGATATATTTGATATTAATGATCCTTTCGATGCATTTGTCAAAGATTTTTGTCAAGAGAATATGGAGAGGCAAAGATCGGTAATAAGTGACAAACCATGGGATGCCTGTAATTTGCTACCTCAGAGGCCGCAGCCCGATACAGGGCAGATGGTAAACAAAACATATACCGAACTTAAAGAAGTGCTGTCTGGTGTAAGACCTACTTACATATCTGGCAAGTATACCTTTATTTTTTATAATGTTAAAGTGGTCTTCGAAAACACACCTTTACCTCACATATTCACACGAAACACACCTTTACCTCACCTATTCACCCGAAACACACCTTTACCTCACCTTTCCAGCCTATCAAAAATCCACTAACAAATCTAGTGAACGTAGGCCTCTCCATAGCTTTCCTCATAAGAGAGATTTTCCATAGTTGCCATGAATGGCAAGCAAGTGGGCAACTGCAGTTTTTTTTTAATTTAGCTATTACCAGAGAGATGCTACTACCCATCTAGCCGCATTATAGTTGTATAGTTGCATATGAGTTGCACCCCTGGGATCTATGTTTGAATCTTTTTCTTGTTCTTTCTTCTCTATTAGGTACCCTTGCTTAGCTTGAAGGTATTAATTAATAATTCTTATTTAGTGTAGAAAAAGTGTTGTGCATTAATAGGTCACCTGATTATAAATCGTAATGCAAGTAGCTACTGGTGTTAGGTCTTTTTTCCTTCCATGTCCACCTGGACATCTGGCTCTTCCCGTCTGAAAGGTATAGAGCCCGTAGAATGACAGAGTGTGAGGCATGGCATCCCATTTTAGAACTCAGAGGTGACAACGCATTTCAGCCTACGTTGTTTGAAGTGGGCTCCAGCTGTTCATGGACTGCTGTGGCTACTTATCAAGAACATTTAGGGAGCGGCGGGGCGGGGGAGGGGGGTGTCATACATAACAATTACACTGTATGTCCTTCGTTTTGTAAATCGGGCGTCCATTAATTAATGGATAACCTTGAAATGAGTCTTTGAAGAAGTAACAGAGATATGTTTTTTCTTAAATAATATCGATATTTTTTGTTACCTTACTTTACATTCTTGCACATCACAACCACAAATTAATGAAATACATCCGGTTTTTATTGTTATAGTAATTTACCTTAGTGAGTTGATAGATAGGCAGTAAATAGTATGACTTCTATTAGGTACGAATTTACTACATTTTCAAAAATCAACCTGAATTATTGTTATTGTGATGTATTAGTGAAAAATATTCATTTTGACAAAGTTTAAACAACCGTAGCATTAACAAAACGTAATGCAACACAAGTGACCAATAATTTTAAAATAATATGTGCTTAAAGCCGATTTCAAATGGTATTTTTAATAATTGCTATTCTTGTTTTAAAGGAGTGAAATTCGGATAAGCAACAATTTTTGCAATATTAGAGTTAATTTTAACATTAAATATACTATAATAATATTTAAAAAAAAACATATCCTTGGTACTATTTGTTTTTTTTTCTGAATGACCATTAGTTCTACTAAGAACCATTTCAAGACTATTCATTAATTACCCGACAGCCTGTAAACGCTAAACATTGTTTCATAAAATACGCTTTACTTCTGGGGATATAAATTTTAAGTAAAACTTAGGGGTGGCAAGATCAACATAATACTTTTAATATACTATTTAAACATGTCTAGTCGAACCTGTGATCAATCCCTGACACGCTCGAGTCAATTTGCAGGCAGCAAGCGTACATTTAGAAGTTTTTCAGCAAATAGCGTTTTAACTATGATAAGTTCATAGATATTGGAAACATAAAATACACTAATTAAATTATAAAATTTGGACGCCAAGCAAAAGTAAATGATTTGACCGTTTTATAATTTTTTCCAGGCGTCGGGTCCAGACGATCTGATCATATAGATGACATACTCTTCGCCGAATGGCGGCGTTGTGAGCCTGAGTGGACGTCTCTTCACACAGATGAAGCCGTTGTCAAAAACCAGCTCTTTGAGAGCATCTTCCAGAAGATACTTATAGACACAGTGGATGAATACAAAAAAGTTGTGTGTTGTGAAAAAAGTAGTAAAGACAAATGAAAGTTATATAGAAAAATCGCTGTGCAGATTATGTGCTAAATAAAGATCATAGTGCTATTAGTAAATGATACAGACCATTTCTGCATTTTACTTAATAATTGTACTGTCATAGAAAATTTATACTCTATATTATTTATATCTTACAACTTGTAAGACATAGGCATTTAATATGCAGTCTTTGAAAAACTTTGTTTTATTGTGCTGTAACTAAATGTTACAGATTTAAAGTGTTAAAATCATAGAAAATACTATCCTGTAAAACAATATTAATAAAAATTCGACAACAGTTTGAATTTCAATTATTGACGCTTCCTAAATTCAATTTAATGAAAGGTGTATATAATAATTATTTTTATTTTTATTAATAATGAAAAATATCACATAGTCCTTACATTTGATACTGACTAAATACTCTATAAATATTTTATTACAAAGTTTTATAAGCGGCCAAAAAAAATATAATTGTTGCATATAGCATTATATAAACAATTAAATATTACAGCTTTTGTGGTATGGCATAAGTTTCAAATATTGTCAAAGCGAAGTTACAGTTTTGTATCAGCTCTGCGATGTTATGTCACTAGAAACACCAATACGGCGAAAATTGCAAAAACACTGTATATAGACCACAAACTAACGTGAGAAACATCGACCTACGCGTTACAACACTACAATATAATTGTTATCAATAAAACGTAAAAACACTTCGATAAATTAAATTCATGTCAACATTTTAAAAATAGGCTAATTAACACAAACAATAAAATTTCAATGCAATGGCGCTCATGGACAAGCAGTCCCAGCAAACATATGCCTCTTTTGAACTACATGAAACAAGACGAGCTGCGAGACTAGTGGCGACTTATGTATGTCTTCTGATTAACAACTCTGGCCTATTTTATTAAGCATCTCCCGCAATTGATACATCCAATCCATTAGTCACCTAGTTAGTTCCTCCTGCACTATACTGCACTAGTATTTCATAGCCACCAACACTGACATAAATTAAGTTCATTTAGTTATTTTTATGATGCATTTCTTAGTCCTCAGCTTTTAGGATCGACTCGAGTGGGTTCGGACCTTTTCTTCTTGGATTTGGGGGCACCTTAGTTGTTTCCGCTGTAAAATATAAATCGTAATTATTGTTTTTAAGTAGCGTCATTGTTCACAATTTTTGTACTTAATTAAATTCCTCAACGAAAACCATAGTAGTAGTGTGAAAATTAAGAATAACAAACGTTTAATATAAAAAAATAAATAAAAACTAAAAGAAATAATAAATTTAATTCCCTTCTATAATATAATATGAAATAGATAAATATAAATATCATCATCATTACACCCTTCACAAGTCCACTGCTGAACATAGGCCTCCCCCAAGCTATGCCACAAAGCACGGTCCTGAGCCACCTGCATCCATCGACTTCCTGCATGTCTTACCAGGTCGTCACTCCATCTAGTGGGGGGTCGCCCTACACTACGCCTACCGGTACGAGGCTGCCACTAGTGAACCTTTTTTCCCCAACGGTAGTCGGTTCTTCGAGCTATATGGCCGGCCCATTGCCACTTCAGCTTACTAATCCGTTGGGCTATGTCGGTCACTCTGGTTCTACTGCGGATATCCTCATTTCTAAGTTTATCACGCAGAAAAACTGCGAGCATAGCCCTCTCCATAGCTTCCTGAGCGACTTTGAGTGTCCTCATACGGCCAGCAGTGAAGGACCACGTCTCGGTTCCGTAGGTCATCACTGGTAAAACGCACTGGTTGTACAACTTAGTTTTCAGGTTTTAAGGTATACCTGACGAGAAGATGCGTAATTTCAATATATATATATATATAACGAGTAAATTTTCTATTAAAGCAAAAAGAAAGCCTTGTTTATAGATAGGGTTGTTATAGCCAAAATCCCTATGACAGAATTGTGGAATATCTTATCCACTATTTTAAACCCAATAGTGCCTAATGATTAAAGTGATGGTACAGAATAAACTAGATCAATTTTTATTTAATTTTAGCGATCCGCACCGGCTTCGCACGATTCGATGATTTCTGGATTTCTACAACAGCGCCACCTACCGGGTCCGATTGAGTTTTTAAACCATCCAGGAACCCACTTAAATACACATAAAAAGTCATCACAATCGCGCAAGCCGTTTTCGAGTTTTAGCGAGACTAACGGTCAGCTATTTGTTTTTTGTATAATATTTAATAATTTACATTAAAAATAATCCTTTTTTTTACCACGTAATTTTTTTATAGGATATGGTGACAAACGAGCACACAGTCCGACTGATGGTAAGTGGTTGCTGTGGCCCATAGACATCTACATCTATCCTCTCGATTACCAATCAAAATGCAGATGCGTTGTCACCCGTGAGGACTAAGATGGAGTGCCTCGTTTGCAGTAAAAAGGGTCACCGGTACTCTACACTCACCATACGAAACACAGCAGCATTAAGCTGCTATTTTATACTGGTACTCTGTGAGAACTTGATCCTTAGAAGAACCGAGAGATTCGTACTACAACTATACTACTAATATAACTGCAGCTTGGCTCTACCACGTATAAAAATTAAATACAAATTAAATTAAATACATTACCAAAAATAGACCCCCAAGTATATATAAAGGCTGGTGAACTGGCGATCGCAAATCATCTTTAAAACCACACATATCCAGTTCGATTTTATAACAATTTAAAATTTCTGCGCAATCACATTTTCGAGTTTATAATTGCGACCATTCTAAATCAAGAAGCTTTTTATACATGAGATGCGTTGTCAGAACTAAGGAAATAATCATTTCGCTCACAAATAATTCTAGGTCTGGGTGTTTGACCATCTGTGATTTATCTACAGATATCTGTTTAAAAGAGTTTACAATGTTCTCCCCAAATGAATTACATTAACCCTTAGTTTAGTATTATACTGGTTATGAACGAACCACAAGCAAAATCTGGCGTAGCAAGAGAGAAACACTCTAGTAATTAATACATTGTCCTTACTCGTTTGCCCTTGTGAAACTTGCAGTACTTCTAAGCACGCCATCCATTCTGTAATACTGATCTTGGAGTCGTGGTTGACGTCGCAGTACCGCGGTAGCTTTCTACCGCAACGTCTCAGCTGTTCCATATTTGATATTAGTTGGTGGAACGCCTTCCATTCCCTTCTCTCCAACGCTTTGTTTTTGTCCTTGTCTAACATAACGAAGGTCCAAGTGGCCGCTTGCTCTTCTTTTGATGCACCCCATTTCACCATGTCCCTGTTAATTTCCAGTTAAAATCCTTTTAAAACATTGTAAATATTATTTTTATATATAAGATATACAAAAATGGTCACCAAATCAAAAAATCGCGTTGCACTCAAATCACTTACACCAGCTTTATATTTTTTCTATATAGAATAAGGGTAAAAACGAGCACACAATGGATGACGGTAAGTGCATGCTGTAAGCCATAAACATCTACATTTATCCTCAATTTAGAATCAAAATGCAGATACGTTGTTACCCCTGAGAACCGAGATGGAATGTCTCGTTTCCAGTAAAAACGTTCTCCGGTTCTCTACACTCACCATACGAAACACAGTTTTGACTGGTATTCTGTGAGAGCGTGGTCCTACCCCGGTTGAGCCGCCCCATTCGTGTTGCAACCATAACATAGTTGCAGCGTGGCTCTGCCACTGTAAACCGTTGCACTTAAATAAAAAAAGTACACCAATAGCAAGAGGATATTTCAATTGATACTTCTGACGTATTATTTCGATTTTTATTAAAAAAGGTTAATAGAAAATAATTTCAATATATGATATCCTATGATAGGAAAGGATACGGATATAAAACTTGATCGTCCGTCATAATTTGAAGCAAATAAAACCGGGAAACCTTCATGTCTGAGAAATTTATAATATTTCGAGGGCCTGTGATGTTCTCTGTACAACACCTATTAAGGGGATAGAGTAAGTCAGCTCAAATTCTAACTTCGTCCCCACTTGCCCGCGCGTCGTATGCTATGTACCGACATGTTTGTAATCACTAATACTGTAAGTAGAAAGGTCGTTAGACACTTATTTCATTAGGTTTATCATATTTATGCCTTTTTCTTAACGCCAAGCCAGTCGCTTCTTATTTTTATTACGGTTATTTCCCATTTTAATTTTACGTCGTCCTGTTGCGTAATGTATATTCTGATCGTAAGCGACACAACCTCCCCGTTCAAAGGCCGAAGCGAAGTAGAGTGACCGTGCGGCAGGAATCACGCTTCAAAAGGCCGATAGTTTAGGTAATTTCTTTTTACAGTGAAAATAATGGTATTTTAAAAAAAGTAAATAACATAAGCACTGCTTTATAGTTAGTTCATTTAGGTATGCAAAGTTTCATGATCTTATTTAAAGTATTTTATGAATAACAGCGGTTTATTGTTTATTTTGGAGGTAACTTTGGTTTTTTTTTCTATCGAGAAAATTTTACGAAATCGTGTTTTCGTCTAACATAATCCTTAACATTAATCCTCAACTTTACCATATATTTATTTCAAAATTAATGCTGCAACATTTTCGGCATAACGAAGGATCTTGCTAAGCCATTTGAGATTATATTTCCCCTTAAGTCAATGCGGCGTACTTCCCTTCTCCACGACCCTTTCAGAAATTAGTTTTGTCCTAGTTTTTGAAGTAATTTGCTGTTCTAGTAGTACCGTTCCGTAGGTAAGAGATTTAACATATACTAGTAATATGTCTTTCTATTCGATTACAACCTCGTCTGCTAGGCAAGAGTGAATAGGCTTTTTTACGTCAAGACACAAAAAATAAAAATCAAGAAATAAAAAAATTTAAACGAGCACATAGTGACATACACTCCACCAGGTATGGGAAGTGGATCTGTCAGCCCATCTTCTACATTCACCCGTGATTAAAAATTAAAACGCAGATGTGTTTTCACCTCTGAGCACTAAGATAACTGAATGACATGTGTCAGTCGATTTCGACACCAAAAAATTCAG